TATCTTTAATAAGAAAGAATTATATCTAATAATAAATCATCATATCTAATAATAAATAATATCTAAGAAAAAAAAAACCACAACCCCAACACATTAACAAGTGTCAGTTTGCAGATACAGTTTTGTGGGGATGAGAACCAGAAAGCAGGGTTTAGATAAGGACCCAGAATTCCTTCTCCCCAGTGTGCTGGTTTGGGGAACTAGAGCACACCTTACAGATCCTCTGTGCTTGGAACATTTAAATGTGTTTAAATGTGGGGATATGGCAAGAGAAAAATGTGACAGTCAGAACTGTGTTTTTGTAACGTGGTGAAAATGGGTTTAGTGTTATTTTAGGAAAAAAAATAGGCTTAAGGTAAAGACATTGCTTGGAACAGGTAGTAGCCAGGCTCTGATGTCTCAGTCTGAGTCCCAGGGAGTCTTTGCACTGCACAGGGAGTGTGTCAGTCACTTTTCCTCTGCTTTTCCCCATCAGAAGACTGAGCTGACCTTACACCTCATTGTCCCTGTTTGTATACATAGCAACATGTTTTCAAGTCAAACATGCACTGAGGTGGGGTTGGAGAGGTAGGAGAATATTTAGGAAAAGGTAACTGGAAGCCTGGCAGGGACTGTGATGTGGGAATGAAGGCCAAAATTTGGGAGATGGAAGGCAGGGGTTCAGGCTGGGGCTGGGAGGTGTGCTGGGAGAAGGCAGCAGTGGAGGCTGGGGGAGCAGCTGGTGTGTCATTGAACAGTGTGGTTTTGATCATTTTATGACACACAAATTTTAATTTATTTTGGCTAATTTATTAAATGCATGAAGAATTGTAGAATTAGGTGGCACTCATGAGTTCTAGGCAGAGCTGAAGCTTCCTGCCATATCAAGGGGTGTACTAGCATCAAAGCTGAGGAGAAGCTCTCAGCTGTGCATTCTCCTTCACCTCACACACAGCAGAATGATTTTTCCACCACAGGATTATGTACTCTGACCTAATAGCTGGGACATCTCCTGAAGTCACACATAACCCCAGGCTGTGCTGACCAGCCCTGCTTCAGTTTTATTCACATTTGGTTTGGGTCAGACAAATGCTTCTTCTAATCCAAAATGACTGTTGTGGGCATTGGCTTTACAGCCTTTATTGACATACAGTGTTAGAGCACCAAAAAAATTATTTGGCTTTGGCAACCAGATTAAAAAAAAAAAAAGTATAAATACCTAAATAATAATTATTGCACTTTTACAATTAAAAAATAGTTACATAGGTCAGGAAGCAAACTATTCTCAAAGCTAATCTTGTTTTTTTCAGGATACAAACTTAACAGGTCAGGGTCTATGTTGTTCCCTGATGCTCACCAAAAAGATTATTTGGTTTTGGCTACCAGATAAAAAAAAAAAAAATTTATAAATACCTACATAATAATTATTACACTTTTACAATTAAAAAAATAGTTACATAGGTCAGGAAGCAAACTATTCTCAAAGCTAATCTTGTTTTTTTCAGGATACAAACTTAACAGGTCAGGGTCTATGTTGTTCCCTGATGCTGCATTGCTTCATTCTTACTCAGTGCCCCTTTGGTTGCTAGTTTGTAATTCTTAGTCCCAAACTCCCTTTCCAGCTCTCTCCTAGTTGCTTTTATCTCCGTGATTTAGAATCCCTACCGGAGTGGGCAGCACCGCAGGCTCTCCTGACAGGATCAGCGAAGAGCAGGGGAATGCAGTCAGCCCCTGGGGCTGCTATGGTGACCCCCTGCTGGTCTGTGACGATCCCGTCGTAACTGTCGGGCTCTGTCCTCCCCACCACACACACAGCACTGGCGTGATCGACCTGCCAACGCAAAACCAGCACGTGGACAGTGACAGGGCAGGAAAAAAACAAACCAAAACCAAACACAAGCCAGGTCTGACTAATGCAAGGGTTTTTCTTTGGCATGAAACACTCTTCTTCTGCACCAAGTGATTGTGGGTGGAAGTCAGGCACTCCCTTGTTCAAATGCCATGCAGGTGTATCAGTAGAAAGCCACCACAGTGAAAACCATGATAACACAGTGAAAACTATGTGATAACACAGTGAAAACTATGAAAACACAGTGAAAACTGTGATAACACAGTGAAAACTGTGAAAACATAGTGAAAACACACCACCATAGCAGAAAACACACCATAGTGGTGTGTTTTTCTTTTAAGAGGAACTCCTCTGATCATTTATTTGATTCATCTGCTCTGTGGTAGGTTAAATGCTAGAAAATACTTGTGAGAGACAGTTCTGCTTCTCCAGATGTGGTGCCAAATGGCTGCTAGTTTTGATGACAAACCCCCAGCATGAATGTTGTGCTTGTCCTGCTTCTCACAAGTTCTTGCTGAGTGAGATAGGAATAATGCCTCCAGCTTTAGCCAGTGATACATGAAGACCTGATCCATGCACACAACTGCAGTGTTGGCTGGGATACCTTGACTCTGTGGAAGCTCTCTGGGTTGAACCCTGCAGCATTAGCCAGCCGGCGGAGATTCTCTTTCACAACAGCTTGTGGGTCCCTCCTCTTGGAGCTGCTGAAGAGATTGCAGGAGCTCAGAGTTGGTATGTAGGAGATCCCACCTGCCCTTGTGGTGAACCCGTGCAGGAAGATATCATCTGTAAAGGTAAAAAAAAAGACAATTGGTTTCAACAAAAGACCAGGCTAGATATTATGTGGTTGCATACTGAAGGGACCTGGAATCAGCCAGTCAAGCTGAGCATTGCTTCACCTCATATTTAGCTGTGGCATTTCAATTTAAGGGTTTCTAAGTTTCCTTCCTGCTCATAATCACAATCCTCTGAGGCCAAGGTAGAGAGGTTTGAGCAAGGACTCCTGGCAGACTTAGCCTGACTTTCTACAGAGTTGTAGTGCACAACCCAGAGAAGAGGTAACTCACTGAGGAAGATAAGAAGAGATTTTTAAACAAGAGTTCTAAGGTGGCATCTCCCAAGCTTTTTTGGCAAATGAAGTGTTAGTCCTCAAGACTTCACAAATTCTCAGGCATCTTTCCAAAGTGCACTGAAAGCATTGAGAATTTCCTCTGGTTTTACCATGAGGATCATTTATTGTGGCCTCATGCACCAAACATGGTTTTTTGGTGCTTTAGGGGGCAAGGGGGCAAAGCTGAACACAGAAAGTTAGTCTCACAATGAGTATTTTTGCCACCTTAACAGCTGACAAGCTTAGTGACATAGAGCTGAGATTCAAAATAACTTTTACAAAGTGTGATTCTTTCAAAGTCACAGTTAAAATCTTTTTTCTATTGATACTTTCCCCTCTTGCCTGATACACTAGTGCAACATCCTATGGAGTTATTTGCTGCCTGAGACCATTTCCAGATGTGACCCATTCTGCAATTCCCTAGAAGAAGTGCACTTGGGAACAGCCTCTGTACAACCTGTTAGCTGGGATTCTCTTTACCTGGGATGAGGGAAGACCTGAGGATGGTGAGCTCCCCCCTCAGGCTCGGCAGGCTCTCCAGGTACAGCTGGATCTCACTTTGGACCAGTGCCACGTCCTCTGCAGGAACCGTTTGCCCCTCGCTGCAAGGTTCAGCCAGCTGGAGGTTTTCACAACCAGATGCCACCTGTAAATCCTCAAATTCAAACTGGTAGACAGCTGTAAAGAGATGGTCTATATATATTCTCATTAAGGCTTTTCTTGAGGTAGGGAGAATAACTTTAATGATGCTTAGGTCTTTTTCATCCAGTCTCTGTTTGATGGTGTACAAAGCAGCAGCTGTACTCAGAGCAGTCACCACCTCCACTCTTCTCCTCAGACTCTCAAAATCTCCCAGGGCTGGAAGCAAGGACTCTGGCTCACCGTTCTTTTCACTGCCCTGCCTCTGGCAACACATGACATAAACAGATGGAGCAGGGATGGAAGAGCACTTCTCAAGAGTTCCCAGCAGGTTACCTAGTACTCCTTGGATGTTGTTCTGCAGGTTGGCTGGTAGGCTGAACAGATCTATCAGTACTGCTTCCACCATATTCCAGGGTGGTTAAAGATTCCTACAGCTGCCAAGTCGTCAGTAACAAAACATGAAAACAAAACAAAACACCAAAATAAAGTAAAACAAAAAGGCAGGACAACATCATTAGCCTAATATGTTATTAAGGCAATGCATTGGGGTGATATCATGCAGAGAAGGTGATGCAGCAGTAATTACTGTGTAGGATTTCCTCATTGCATCAGAAGAAATTGCAGCAAAAGAAGAGCAGTGGAAATGGGAACTAGTATGTATTTAAGTACCTAGGTTATTTCCCCACCACCCTGCCTACCTCAGGTTTTTCCCAGGCTGGGAGTGATAAAAGGTTAGTACATAACACTAGATTTATGGAATCAATTAAACCACATTAGCCTAGTGGATCTCCTTGACCTCTGACTGTCAGGCCCCTCCAGCTCCCAAATACAGAGGTGCCTCAGCTCGCTGGGACTGGAGCTGTTCCTGGGACACTGGTGGCTGAGGTGGAGCTGGTGCCCTGGCAGCAGGGGCTGGGCTCAGTGCAATCACACCTTCCCCACAGCCGACTCTCACCAGAGTTTTTGCACTTCTCCCTTTTGTGCCACCAAAAGTACTGACTTGCTGATTCCTGCCTTCTGTGTGGAGGGCCACGTGAGCTCTGCAGTTCTTCTTCTCAACAGGCACCAGGAAGTCAGAACAAGTTGCTGAAACTTCACCTAGTAAGGCAAGAAGCACACAGAACTGAGTGAAAATAATGCCATATTGTGCACCACTTTCTGCCCCAGGTTCTTCACTGTGCTCGCTGCACTTTCAGCTCTCAGATCAAGACACATTAACCTTACCCAAAATCATCTGGCAGTTCAAAGCTTGTTTTGTGGCCCATGCTGTAAGTCCAGTTTTGGTGATTTGGGTTTGTTTTTTTTTTCCCCTTTTCCAGATTTGGTTGATCCAAGCCCAGCCAGGCTGCCTACCTGTGAAAACTTCTGTGTCTATCTGTTTCTTCCTCTCTCTGTTCCTCTGAGACCTCATTTTACATATCCTCTAGGAATTGTCCTATTTTCTTCTCTCTGCCTCAGATCATGTTCCAGTTTTCAGTGCAAGCCTCCAGAGGTGTGGAACAAGAGACTAGATCCCCCTGCTTTGGGACCCTGGAACAGACAGCTATTCAGAGTCCATGACTAAGCACCATGCTTGACCTAGGAGGAACACACAGAGCTCTGTCACTAATTAGAAGACCCCATAATCATCTAGAGCATTCCTTAACACCACCAATTTATTTATTTTTTTTTTTGCATAGTAACGAATTGTGCATGAATATTAATTCCTTTGCAGGAAAATTGGTATCTTTGGAAGAACAAAGGACTTGAGAATCTTTTAATTCTTTGAAGTCAATGCTGTGCTACCACAACTGTGTCAGATACTGCCTGGCACTATTTTCCTGCCCCAGGTCCTCATTCTCCTGGAACTACATGTACAAAAAATACTGAAATTGTGTGGACTTGAGGCCTGCCACTATGGTGGACTTGGTGTCCACCTTGGTGTTTTTTGGCTGACAATGGATTCCCAGAGTTTCTACACTCCAATGAGAGGTTAAAGACTTTCCTGGTCTTAGTGGATTGTTTATTCAGAGTAGGTTTTGCAGAAAACATGCTGCATTTTCTTCCTTGTTCTTTCCCCCCAGACGAAGAAAAATAATGCTGACTGAAAATAATGTTTTCCTTTCTGCAAGTTAAACACTTACAAAGGTCAGTTAGTGACTATCAAAACAGCTGAACTAAAAGTATCAAAATGTAGCAGCAGATAAAAGCTTTTGCCAAGGAGTTTATGACTTTTGATTTTGCTCAGAGTATTATTTACAGAGAGCTGAAAGAGAAAGCAGCTTGCTGAAACAGACTCATGCCAAAGACCAGGGCTTGGGAGATGAGGGTACTTCCTTCCCTATCCTGACACTCTCTGTGGGAGGCCTGTAGGAGCATGGCATGATCTCTATCTGGGCACAGCTAACAGCCCCAGAGAAGGCTTTACAGCAGAGGGGCGTGGTGGGAGACAGATTATTGCTCTACTTCAGATATGTCAATCCTGAGAGGTAAGTAGAGTTCACTGCTGTGCTCGTACTTCCCCAGAAAAATGCCACCAAGGCAGGGTGGAAGGGAAGTGTTTGCAGAGGGAGAGGTAACTGCCCACACTGTTGTTGGCTGTGCATTGCAAAAAGTCCAGGGGGCAATTATTGGGCTGTACACGAGTGAACAATGGGGCTGAGTCACCCTTCTGCCCTTCCAGCTTTGCATCACGGTGCCTGCTACTGAGGTCAGTGCTGTCAGAAGCAGAT